AGAGGGGAGGGGGGAGAGAGAAGGAGACCTCAGAGCATGGCTCTATAACATAAAGGTGCTGGCCAGCCGAGATGCCCGCCGCATAGCCACGTGTTTTATTCCCTCGTGCCGCATGGAGTCTGACGAAAGTGTAGGGCATCTGGTAACCAGACCACCGTGCCGCGGATGACGCCGCATGCTAAAAGGAATCAGGTTATGCTGCGAGCGTCCTGTTATGGGCAGTCGCTGCAAAGTCTGTCAAGCAAAGTCAAGCAAAGTCTCAAAAGCTGCAGAACACGTACTGAAAAATGACCAGAGCCGGCGACCCGGGAGGGAGATGAGAGGGTCACGTTGCTCAAGGGAATGGGTGCATGTGGGTTAGATTCTGCCAGGACTTGACTGCCAAACCGAAGGGACGCCATTGAAATTGCTTAAAGCCGGCTCCTTGCTGCTCATGATATCCCGCGGGGCTTGCAGATCGCTTCAGTAATCCATCATTGCGATATGATCTCAAACAATATGAATCTCACACCAGGAGTTCCCATGAGACAGGGATCTTGCAAAGATCTTTGCGTGCGGATAATGATAGAAAATCAGATATTTCTTGTCATGTGTCAATAAAGTCACCGAGCATGATAATGGAGGACGGAGCACAGGGGGCGAGTTGCCGGGGGTTCTGTGTATCATTAGCACTTCACGCGTCACACACCAATAAGGGGTGGGTGCCGGAGGAGGCGCGAGACCGGCTGATACCACCCAGGACCGTGGGTTGCCGGGGAGGCAAGAGACCAGCTGATACATCCAGACCGTAGGTGCCACAGAGGCGAGGAGACCGGCTGATACGTCCAGGCTGGGGTGCCGCGGAGGCGAGAGACCCGGCTGATACCACCCAAACCGTGGGTGCCACAGAGGGAGAGAGACCGGTGATACCATCCAGGAGTGGGTGCAACAGAGGCGAGAGACCGGCTGATCCATCCGGATGTGGGTGGTGACCAGAGGCGAGAGACCGGCTGATACCATCAGGATGTGGGTGCCACAGAGGCGAGAGACCGGCTGATACCATCCAGGATGTGGTGCCACAGAGGCGAAGAGCGACCGGCTGATACCATCCAGGATGGGGTGCCACAGAGGCGAGAGGACGGCTGATACCATCCAGGATTGTGGGTGCCACAGAGGCGAGAGAGACCGGCTGATACAATCCAGGATGTGGGTGCCGGAGGCGAGAGACCGGCTGATACCACCCAAACCGTGGGTGCCACCAGAGGCGAGGAGACTGGCTCACACCATCCAGGATGTGGGTTGCCACAGAGGCAAAAGACCGGCTGATACCAACCAGGTCGTTAGATGGCCGCAGAAGAACGCGACTTCTCTGCCGCACGGTCCAGGGAACTTTTCTCAGACCCCATTACAATTCATGGGCCTTGGTGCCCTCCGACCGAAATGTCACTCGTTGTCGCGGAACGTGCGAGACGCAGGTGGGAGCCCGATGCCGAGTCGGTCGGCGTCTCCGAGTCTCCGGAGACAGCTCGTCCACGGCTGCGAGACTGGTGCGAAAGTAACGCCAAACTGACTCGGCACGGCAGCAGACGTGGCCCGTCCAGCCCTCGCGAGCACTATGCCTGGGTATACATACGGGCCTGTCCAGGGCTGCAGCCTCCGCAGCCGCTGTTGGCGTATGCACGCGCGTGAGAACTGCTGACACCGGCCTCGTGAACGACATCTATCGCAGAACATTTTCAGAAATGGTCGGTACAGCCGCCCTCTACGCCGCTTTCACAGCATATCCGCGCAGTTGCAGACGCTTGATAAGGAGTCTGAGCCAGCAGTCACGAATTCTGACCAAAGTGCAGCGAAATATTGAACCAAGAAAAAGCCTTCCATTGTCAGTTCCCGAGGCGACGTCATGCTTCAGCGTGAGAATCGGCACACCTGCAGCCGAGCATGCTGACGGGGCTTCACGCCATGCTCCATGAATCTCAGGCCGTCCTCCAGAAAGCCGTGACGGCGCGCGTCGTCCGGCGCAGCCCGCCCCCAGCTGTTCACCAGCAGCGCCCTGCCGTACCGCCGAGCCACGGCCGACCGGCGCAGCCTGCCCCGTCTCGTCACCGGCCCTGCCGTACCGCCCGAGAGCTGCGGCCGCCCGGCGCCGGCAGATTTAATCACGGCGGCCATCTTAATTACGTCGATCAAGTCCATCAGCGCCGAGGTAAGCGACAATATTGAGGCCGGCGCCGAGCCGCGGAGGGCGCTCGGCAAGAGCAGTGGCCGCGCAGCAGCGCTCTGGCCAGAATGCGCTGCACAACGGTTATTGGAGTCAGAGTCATGGGGTTGGGCCGGTCTGCGTGTTCTCAATGTCGGCCCGCGGAGGCCTTGACGGACGCGGGTTCTCCAGGCCAAGGACTCGCCAGACGGTGGGCGCGCAATGCAGCGCCGTTCGTCCGTGCCTGGGAGAGGAGCGTCCCCTGGGGTCGCTCGCTGCGCCCGGCGCGCGGCGCGTCCGGGCGCCGGTTGACGACCGTTCCCACCTGCTGGGCGGAGCGGCACCTGGAACGCCGTCGGTGACACCGCCTCCTACGAGCGCTTGTTGACGCCAACACGCACGGCCGACAGAGACGGATGAGAGGCCGCGGGCGGCGAGGGGGGAGCGCGCCCCGCCGAATCTTCATAACCTATGGTATGTTGCCGCTGTGCCATTCACAATGTTTAGTTCAATTAACCCGGTTGTTATTGAGGTGCAGGCGGCATTGTCGGCATTCTGGAGACAGGACCGGGGAGGGCGCGCGAGCTGTTGGAAGCGGTCGTTACCGGGCCGGCGCCCCTGTCCGGGTTAATGGGACCCGTGGTGGCTACTGCCGGGGCCCGACGTCCGCCCAGCGCCCGCTGCTGGGCGGCGACTTCGCCACGTCAACTGGCGCTCGTGTTTCGGGGCAGGTTGCCACGACGTCCCACGAGCATGGCCGGCAGCTGCTTGTTGTGCTCGCCGGCCCGCAATTAGCCGACGGCATCGGCTCATTAGCAGCTGTTTACCGGTGTAAGGGCTCCTGTAGGGACGTCCTTGGCGAGCTTGTGAGCAGCGCAGTGCGCGCACAGAGCGACTGCGTCTCCTGACTGGAGCGTGCGCGAACGGTGTTTGCATGCAGTAGCGCAGAGTTGAGGGGCAGGATAATCAGCAGTCCAGTGATGCAGCGGGGGTCTTTGGGGCTCCACTCTCTCCCAGCGCTCTTGCGTGGGCTACGGCGAGACCCGACGCAACGTGCCCAAGACGAAAAATGAGAGGCAGAGCAGAGGTGGTCTGTGGTGCTTTTGAGATGCTTGAGTGGTAAAGCTGTTTTTTTTTTGTCATCGCACAGCAACGACCAAACAGATGTGGGCACCTTTCCTCATACTGACCCAGACTTTTGGTATTCATACACTCTAGACAGAAAAGGGCCACATACTAATCATGAAGTGAAGTATATACTATCGGCTTAATTCATGATTAGTATGAATTACTTCATACTAAGTATGCCTACTTCATATTATAACGCCTTTGTACCGCTGCCACACTGCAGCGTTGGCAACCGGTATACAGCCAGATCCTGACAGCCTGGAATATTACGATCCTTATACACGCACATTCTGAACCAGATCAGCGAATGACTTACTCAGCCGAGATGTAAACTTCAGTCCAGTAATGGGTCGAACGCTGCAAACAGACGCTGACTAGCGGAGTACAATGCGCGTGTTAAATGGCCATAAACGGTCTAATTCTAGCAACAGGTTTAGCAGAGTCGCGGTGATTAATGGATCTCGGGCGGCAGATAATGTGTGACGGACAAGGATAAGTACATTTGTTCCTTCCGTGAAAACATCAGAAAAATGTCGGCACGTATCTTAAGTAGTCGAGATAACACGAACTTGTCATAAAAAGCGTGTACCATCCCCAGCCGTCACATGTAATCGTCTTGACCACTAACGAATTGGATTTGTTTCCTTCAATGGTGTGGGGTATCTTTTGTATTCTATGTGAAAAGGGTGATATGTCCACCACTTTGCAAATCCTCCAATATGGAGCACTTGAAGTGCTTCGTAAGAAATGGGGGCATCAAGAAGAACGACATATCCTAGTTAAGTAGCATGGAACAGGCTTCTCCGGAATAAATTGGAGGAGCTATGTAATTCTTCGACTCCTAGCGCATGGGCACACATTCTGAATGCAGCCATCGACGTCTCCACCGTGAACACGCATGTATGCACTGCCAGGTTTTTTAGCATTGTTTGAAGTGTATATCGTGAAAACGTACGGGATGTATCCGGGTAAACCAATTGGGGCTTCAGTGGGGCAAACCAAACTAATAAAATACACATTTAACATCATGCAAACGGTTCTGGCGCCGTTTTCCTTGCCAACGACTGTGAGGTGACGTGAAGCATCACACTGCTCATCAGCATGGTCCGCTGGCGCACGGATTCACAGGGCCGGCTGTTACAGGAAGGGCAGTGGGAGAGCCCACGTTAACCGTGTGAGGGCGACGCCTACTTCCGTTCCCAGCTTAATGGGCCGCGTCCTGGGCGGAACCTGTCACTTCCGCCGAACGCCGTACTGAGGCCATTTCCAATTTACCCGAAGAGGGCCGCATCGTGCGGCCAATTTGTGCGATTTGGGATCTGTAGCAGACGCGGCTGCGCCAATCCAGTCTGCCATGTGCGCCGCGGTCTTAGCCCGCCTGCACCGCGTTCTGTAGACATGGCCCGAGTCGCACGAGTCATCAGCCTCAGGAGACCAGTCACTAAATTATTCGCCTTGTTTTGCGAATCTAAATCCTGTTTTCGCACCGCTTGATCCGCTAACCCCGCGCTACAAAGGCCTCACTCGAAGACGCGGGTGAGCCACACAGAGTCTCGAGCCACGCAGCCATAGAGCCACACAGAACCACCAGCCACACAGCCACAGAGCTACGCAGAACCTCGGGCCACACAGCCACAGATCCACACAGAACCTTATGAGCCACACAGAACCTTACGAGCCACACAGAACCTCGGCAGCGGCAGGAAGCCATGCCTGCGCGCGCGCCCGCCGAGCAGTTCCGCCGCCGGCCACATCCGCGTCATCCGGCTCGCGGGTGTCACGAGGCGGCCGGGCGGCAGCGCGGCCCGGCCGTGACGCCGCCTTGTTTGTACACCCCCGCCGTCAGCCTCGAACGGCGGCCCGCATAATTCGCCCATCAATCAGCGGCCGGCAGCTCCAGGCCGGCCGAGTAGCCGCCGCCGATTGGTCGTTAAATTCGCCGCGGCTGGCCGCGCCTCGTAATGACCTCGTGTTTTATCAATAGCCGGCGGCGCCGCAGCCGGCGCCGGTCACGAAGACGGCGTGATCCGTCGGTGCCGTCGACGGGCTCGCCGACGGTGGCGGCGGCGCCGTGATGTATGTGTCGGCGGTGGGGTATTCAGCACCGGGCCGCCGGCGCCTGGCACGGTCTCCTCCGATCATCCGGCTGACGGCGGTGCGGCGTCCCTAGCTGTGTGGGCGGGGATGTGTACGCATGTCAGGTGGGAACGCCCTCCGGCCGCCGGTCACGGGGCAGAGTAGAAGGTAGCCTGCCGCTTGCCCCGCCGTGAGAGTGTTTTTGTACACGGGATGCTGTTCAGCATGGGTTGAAAGGCTGACCGTCTCTCAGGTTGTTAGACATTGTTTATGATTTTTTTCAGTAAATGCATGGGCTTTACAGTAGGAATGACCATTATTGATGGATGACTTGCAGGAGCGGCTTGTAATCGTATTTGGCTTGGAAACATTGCAAGCTTTCCAAGCTGGTTGATGTCGGGAATTAATGTCAGAACAAAAGTCGTGAAGTCTTTAAGGCGTTAACCAATGTCGGACTTCATATTGACCGGCGATGTGGTGATGGTCAGCCATTTGCGAGCCATTAGACTGAAATGTCAAGGGGTCAAGAAAGGGCAGTCTGGCAGAAGGAAGGGGGAACACGGAGCCAGATGGAGAGGAGACTGATGGACATCTGGCACCCTCCGTATCCCCGCCGCCAGGCACCGTCACTGTGCCTGCTCGTGGCGCGGTACTGCTGCTGCTGTTGCTGTGTAACTGGGAGGCCACAGAGTCGTCATGCAGCCAGTGAATATTGACCTGCGAACTGGCCAGGACTCACGCCGGCAGCAATCCGTGGGACCAGCAGACACTTTCACCTGCAAGTCCCACCGCTTGCCCCTCCCCTTCCCTCGTGCACCAGGCCCTCGCCTGATATTTGGCGCAGCCTGGGAGCGTGCACCAGTATTTTAGATGTCGCAACGAGCGCTGGGCGCGGCAGTAGCCTGCGGTGGGCCGGTGTAGCCAGGTGGGGACTGCTCATTGAAAACGAACATACTTCATCAGGTTCACAACGTCATTTAGAGCCACTGCGAGAAAACCCCGCATTGGTACGCGTCGTGGTGGTTGATTCACAGAGGCATTTTCGAGCTGTTCGCACTCCACGCCTGGCTGTCTTATTGAAGTTATGGTCAGGTCTTGTAAGACAATATAATGTGTTGTTTGTGATATATGTTTTCACACATGCATATATATATATATATATATATATATATGTGTGTGTGTGTGTGTGTGTGTGTATGTGTGTGTGTGTGTGTGTGTGTGTGTGTGTGTTATCTGAAAATATGACAAAATGTACGTCAAAGTACGATATTGCACGTCACTTGCTCGTGTATATTGTATGTAAAGTTAATGCTGGTTCCACCGGTGGTGTATTTCACGTGCCATATGACCACGCAATCACATGCTTTCACACAACGATAAGCAAACACTTACAGGTTAGTCGGGGGAAAGGGCGTTGTGATTCTATTCGTACAACCGCAATAGCATGTTACGTCTAATAATGGGAAGGTTGTGGGTTCAAGACTTATTGCTGGCCTATTTTATGGTTATGTCCGCCACCGTCAGCGCGAGGAGTTGCGAGGTTTTAAGGCAGCTACGACAGGATGTCATCCACTAACACTAGCGCCAGGATCGGGATGAACCGCGGCCGAGCACTGAGCGTTCCTGTCGTGACCCTGGTTGGCATCCGGGGCAGATTTGCCGTTCCCTATCACCCGTTCGCGGGTCCGTCGGCTCGGTGCGCTTTCGCACCAGGATCTCACAGCGCAGCAGCACCATGCCTGATGTCAGAACGTCACGAAATCGACCTGCGTACCCACGCATGGCCACCTGTGCCCCACGCATGGCGACAACTAACTTGTGGGCCTCTTTCCGAAAAAGCGCGTCAAGCAACATCCTGATCCCGATCCCGATCAGGAGTCACTCGTCAGAAGAGTGACTCCTGACGAAGGCGTCGGTCAGCCATCACTACGTCAACGCATTCCACATCCCAGCGGCCCTGACGGCGTTGTTACCGCCTATGCCGCCAGTGTTCAGCTAGATCGCCGGTCTGTCCACGGCGCGGTACAGCCGCGAGCGCTGCGTCAGCTGGTTTATATGGCATGATTGCCAGAAGCCCTAACGTACGGCTCATAATAGGCCCTGGATTGTCTTGAGCTATGATTTTATCACATATTATGCAGATATGCAATTGTGACATGATGTAGCCCTCAGCAACTGGCTTAGCCACAGATGATTATCTAGATGCTGCGATCTTGGTGGATGACCATTTTTCGCCCTTGAGTCTCAAATTGAAACCGCATCGGAACAAGTCACCGTGCACTGTTTTGCTACGTGCCGGCGTTCGGTACTAAATTCCCCTCCCACGTATTTTTTGACAAGCGACAATGGAATTCAGTTTGGCAGCTCCGCACCACATCGGCTTTCAAGTTCTTTTCAGCTAACGCCCGACGAAATTATGCCAACGCAAAAAGTTGTCTACTATCTCAAAATGCCTTATCTCTGCCTGGATGTGGCGAAAGTGCCGCTGGTTGGGGAAACCTGCGTCTGTGCGGCGGGTACAGAGCAGAGGCACCCCGGCCCGCGAGGTTTTGGCAGCCGTGAGAAGGGCCGGCCTGCCGTAGCCGCGCAGGCGTCACTGTTTGACAGGCCTTTGAAGCCCCGGAAACAGCCGGCCGCGCACCTCGCTCCGTCTGGCCGTTGGCAGCGGTGTTTGAGTCGCCCGCGGCTACAAGACCTTTGACCTCCGCCGATGAGTGCCCGCGCGCAGCTGAACACGTGTAGTGCACAGCGGTGCTATTGCGCCTGACTGACTTCAATGGACGCACTTGTCGTTTGCGCGAATTTACGATGTTAAATGTAATGGTGCATTGAACTAAGGCATGTTGTTACTTGTCAAGCTGAACAGGTTTCAGACCGTGGGGAACTCGTGCATGGCTCTCATTGCAATATTGCAATCGACGGGGACGCTCACGGGGGGAGGAGGCCGCATGGGCCCATAACACTTTGCTAACAAACGAGGGACCCTTAGAACCCCAAGAAAAGCATGGAGTTAGTTCGCTTGAAAGCCATCCGATTTCGCCATGTTTAACAAACTACCAAGGAAAGTGTATAATTCCCGAACTAGTTCTCTATTCAGTTGGGGGAGGCCTCCAGTCACCCCCAACTTGGGCTCCCTCAACCTCAGCCCTCGCGGATTTTGAAAAAGTTGGCCTAGTCTGTGGAGTAACTCGTTCGGTGGCGTATGTAAGGGAGAAGCTTTCGGCATTTTTACTGCTTAGCCCCCCCCCCCCTCCTCCAACTCATTTCGCGAGATCACGTCCTTGCGACAAAGAGTCATAAGCGTCCGCGGCCGGTGTTGGCTAAACGACGTGGCAGTTTCCATGAGAGTTCCTGTTGGGGAACTCTCATCTCTTATGTTGGGGAACTATCACACTATTGACTGTGTGCTGTGGTATATGCGCTATAAATGGAGCTAGTTTTAGTGGATCGTTTCAGGCTGCCACAGACAGCCTGTCCATGACGTCGCTCCAAGCTGCCGTACTTGTCAAACCGTTGTTTTTGAGTCCCGTCCAACAACTCAAGGCCACGGTGCACTCCAAGCGAATTGGATAGCCAATGTCATCAAATATCCGCCGTTGTTCACTTCTCCAGGTCAAACAGTCCACACGGCACAATTATGCCGCCATCATTTGCGTGCAGGTTTTCACCTTTGGCATAGTTTGGAAGCTTGAATGTTTAAATTGAGGATATCCTCTGCAGCCGAACAACCGCGGCCGGCAGCGGGCCGCGTTGCAGCCGCCATCGCGGAATTGATTTTGCACGCATCAGGCGTGCAAAATCTACCGTGCTGAGAGTCTCAGCTCTACTCTCGGGATGGAGGTTGGGAGCCGTGGCAGTAGGGCCACGCACCCAGTGTGGAAGAACACTGCTGCAGTGGCCGGATCTGGCCAGGTTCGCTGCACCTCAAGGTACGCCGAGGCTAGGTAACGGAGACACCCTCGCATCAAGGAGCGAACGTGTCCTGTTTTTCGCCGAGCAGCAGCATACTTGCCACGAAGGCTTGCTTGTTTTCCTGTTGTAATTCATTACCAGTGAGCACGTGCGTCCGAGACAGCGCAGCCGAGCCGGCAGCACACTGGTGCTCAGCTGACATGATACAAGTTTTATACAGGCGCACACCGCCGTCTGCACGACGTGAGACGATCAGGGTGGATTAAAGGGGTTCCTAGGTTTATCTTAAGTTTGTTTTGAGAGATGACACACCACAATGTATCGAGGTCAAATTCCCGAAGGGATGAACGCTGGTTGCGGCTCGATGACACTTCACTGAAGGCTCGTATCGTCGCCTGATTCACTGTTGTAAGGTCGCGTGCATGGCAGCGCGCGCACGTTTTGCACATTTCCTTCAGCCCCGCACCTGTAGTCGAAGCGTGAAGAGGTGAGTGAGCACGTGGCTGGGTGTATGTGAAGTGTTTGCGCTGAGTGTGATGGCGCTGAGTGTGCCAACATCGACTCGCCGACCCGCTTGCGTCTGATCAGCACGGTGTCAGGCTTGAACGCCCGTCATTGCTGTAGTTGTTATCGTTTCCTTGTCGAGTTCTGCTAGACAAGTGATGTCAATCACCCTCAAGGTATCACCTGGTAGACGAACATGCAGTCAAGATCACAAAGAGCATACCTATGATTCGCGGAAAAATCCCCTCAGGTTGTACCACAATCACTGTTATAAAGCTTCATTCACCATAATGAGATGATGGCTGTTTTCCCTATGCCGTCCTGATTTACAGGAATTTGATAAGCGCGGCGTAGATAAGTTTGTGAAAAACGGCCCCTTTCGTGGAGAATGGTAGAGAAAATCAGGAGGTACGACAGTGGGTAGCGGCCTCGTTCAGTGACGGCATTCAGAGCTCGGTAATCCCGTGGCCCGCTACTCGCCTGGATTACGCTTTTGGCGCCAGATGAATGGGCCAAGCCCACGACGAGTGCGGCGATTGCAGGACGCCATCTCTGAGCAGAACCGGGAACGACTCCTTCGTCAGCTTGAGCTTGTCAGGCGAAAGCGTATTCGTCATAGGAAGATTCTTGACACGACACACTCCGCTGCTGAGGCTTTGTGGCGTCGCTTGCCTCTCAGCCTGGCGGGAAGGGCGGGAACCGCCGGCAATCAAAACCCGTACCTCTGGTTTCCTTTACGCGCAGCTTAACCATTATGTCGTCGATAACCTCTGGAGTGGCGCCAAATATTGCGGTGGCAGTCGCTACGAAAAGATCATCTTTCGCTGACACTCCGAAGTCGCGCTCTTCCAGCACATTACTTTTGGAACTAACAAACCACATTGCATAACCGCCCTAGTGAAAATAAAGAAGTATTTACAAACCCACAGGCATTCAACATTTCTACGAAAACTAGAGCAAGAGGAAGTTATGCAGACACCGACACAAAAAAGAAGAAAAAGTGTGCAAATAGTTAGGTGCTACAAACCTATTGAGATACACCGCCGCGGTGCATTTTGTAAGACAATGCGGCACAAAAAGATTTAGTTCCACATAGTATTTATAGGGCGCCAGGTTCTGTATCATCAGGATCCGCTGATCAGGTACCGAGGAAGGGCATGTTTTTGCCAGTGATACCACATCTGGAGCGTACGGATGGAGAAGCTTTCAATCGTCTTCTCTCACAGACTTGGGACCTGGAGAGAGAAGACGACTGAAAGCTCATCAGCAGTTGATCAAGCGGACGCTGATATAACGCGTTCCAGACGCTTTGCCATCCTGGGCCCAATAGGTACTGTTGTGAAGCTTGAAAAACCTGTGCATGTGGTCAATAAATGTCGTCAACACTGATGCGTGTCTGGATACCCACGTTGGCGGGAGACCATTAGCAATTGCAGATTGCAACCCTGAAAGACGTTCTTCCTGGGCCGGTCGACGGACGAGCGTATTTGTGATGTTAAACTTTATCTTGGTCGCGGTATTCCTGGAGGGGCTAAAGCTCTCTTAACTGCTACTCCTTGGTTTTATGCAGACTTATTCTTTTCTCAACCAGTTGATGATATATTCCACGCTACCTGTGCCACAATCGTCTTGAATATTCCATGTAATATGCAAGTGATGACCACCAACCGGTTTTACAAACTGTGTCAGCATCGAGGATTGTCTAACATTTTAGCCTCTCAGTCACGAGCCTCCAGTCACCCAGCATTGACAATCAGCTGTCAGTCTCATTCAGTTATTGGTGCGATTTACTCACCGGTAGAAAGCTGCCGTCGGTATCAGTTAGAGGTGTTACTCAGCTGCTCAAACGATTCAGTCGCTGGTGTACTGTCCGATGACAGATTTAGTAAAGCCGTTAGGTAGTCAGTCGCTTTTCGATGTCATTCGCGTTTCAGTCGCGAATGCCATTCAGTCGTCGATTTCATTCAGTCGTTGATGCTTGCTGTTGTGCGGTCACCGGTGCCATTCAGTCATAGGTATCATTAGGTCATCGGGCGTGTAAATCACTGGAGTTGATCAGTCACGGACGTCAGTTTGTGAGGCGGATCAGTCGGTGGCGAATGCCAATCCGTCACTGGTGCCAGCCGGCCGCAGGGGTGCCAGCTGCCGGTGTATTGGTCACGGGTGCCAGCCAGCCGCAGGGGTGCCAGCTGCCGGTGTATTGGTCACGGGTGCCAGCCATCCGCAGGGGTACCAGCTGCCGGTGTATTGGTCACGGGTGCCAGCCGGCCGCAGGGGTGCCAGCTGCCGGTGTATTGGTCACGGGTGTCGGTTAGCCACAGGTGTCGGTCAGTCACAGGTGTCGGTCACGGGTGCCAGCCGGTCGCAGGGGTACCAGCTGCCGGTGTATTGGTCACGGGTGCCAGCCGGTCGCAGGGGTGCCAGCTGCCGGTGTATTGGTCACGGGTGCCAGCCGGCCGCAGGGGTACCAGCTGCCGGTGTATTGGTCACTGGTGTCGGTTAGCCACAGGTGTCGGTCAGTCACAGGTGTCGGTCACGGGTGCCAGCCGGCCGCAGGAGTGCCAGCTGCCAGTGCACAGGTGT